GTAAAATCATTTTGTCCTCCTTTTTCGTCGTTTTCTGCACAGAGCCACGATCCGGCAAGTCATCAACGTTTTTGACCTCGGAATAACGTTTCACCCACTTACTCACAAACGCCTTAGACTTCTTCATATACTTAGCAGCCGCTCCGCGCGACATTTTTGGTCCTTTCGGATGCGAACATAGAAACACAGCTTCGTAACGTGATGCGTACGCGGCACTCATGTTGAAATACGCCCTTTTGTGACGAAAGTCAAACGATAACTAAGGCTTTCTAGACAAAGCATCTTGGGAGAAGAGCCCCGCTATTGGCTCGCGTTCATATCCCCCCTCTAACGGTTTCGAGGAAAAAGTTTTACCGTACACGCTCTTATCAAACATACTGTACATGGCAAAGAGTAATATACAGCACCAATTTTATGAGTACCAGTTTGTGAGCCAAGTGGATCATTTACTTCAAATTCATCGTAATAAAATATAAGAGGAATTATCCTGTTCGGATACTTTTCTTGTAATTTTTTAAATAATTGAGCCTGAATTATATTTGAGATACCATTTGATTCCATTGATAAGTTTCGCAAATAATTTAAAATTTATTGTAAGAAACCAGGAAGAGCAAATAATTTTTGTATTACTGATTTTACAGATATATATTGACCGGTTACATTGGTAGGTACAATTGTGTAATTTAAACCAATTTTTTTCCCGATATTTTGCTGTCCAATTACATACGATTCTGGTTTTATTAAGGTATCTTGTTCTTTAAATTATTTAAATCGTTTGAATTCTGTATCAAGTGATTCAAATGGATTTTCAAATAAGTTAAAAATTTGCTCAATTTTATTCTGGATTACACTATCGTTTGTGATCAAATCTAGAACATTTAGTTTAAGATATGAAAATATTATTTTGTTGACAAACATACGTGTAGAATCAACAATTTCTTGTACATGCATTCTATTCATTGACAATTCATTATAAAAGCTAGCTGCAAATTTTGCAGCTTCGTGTTGTAATTCTTTTTTTAAGTCGACAAAAGTCTGCTCAGTGTTGTCAAAATTATAAATAAATTCTTCTTGACTCACAAACAAATCGGAAGTAAGAATATCAAAATCTCTGTTATCATTTGGCTGATATATCAACAGCAGAACTTTTTATATTCGATGATTTTTTATTATCTTTCGAATGATCAGTAATTAAATGATTTTTAAAAACATTTATATTTTGAAAAATACGATAACAGTCATTTTGCATACATACGTAACGATCACATAATTCAAATGTGTGAAATAAAGAAAAATGACGGATAAACGGATTAATATCTTTGAATCTTGTCTCACATAAATGGCAACGGAACATCTTGAATGGTAGAATCACAATCGCAAGATATTTTTATAAGTAGCGTAAAGAAAAATAACATAAAATATTTCAAATTTCAAAATTCAAGCATGGAAACAACTCTAATGTGCATATTAACACTATTTTATACGCTTAATGATATATAAAACTATATTTTTATAATTAATCAGTCAAAATATATATAAAATGAAATATAAAATATAGAATTTTACTCAAACACAACTGTCTTAAATATATGTTCGATAAAGTCACATATTGGATTAAAGTCTATTCAAATTATCGATCAGAGTCATTACAGACTTACTATATTTATCCCATTTTGTTGTTCGTTCATAAATATATTTTTGTATAAAAAGCCAAATCTGTTCGCAGGCAGGTGGATATTTGACATTCAGAACTTGAAAAATCTTGTACAAAATGTCAACAGCCTTTAAGACATTTTCCATTTTATACATTATATCATCAATGATGATATAAAATGCTTCAATTGCGGTGAGTTGTGATCCTATTGCAATTATGTACGGCTGTAGAGTTTCTTTTAGTTTATTGGCGTTCTCTCGTCTTCGACGTTTTACTATTTCCAAATCTCCTGGTATCTATAATATTCAAATTTTTATTACCAACTAATTAGTGTCTATATAATTTTAAATTTTAGATCTAAGATAACTTATTAATTAATGTCTCGTTAAAATTTGATTATAAAATATTAATTAATTATAAATAAATAGCTTACTTTAATATGACAAATAAAAGCATCTATTGATTCTGCTATAGTAGGTCGCCATGTCTTCTTTCTTCCTGATATCTTTAGTCGCACATTGGAAGGACACAGCACTGGTATTAAAGAAAGCAGTGCCGCATTTCTACATTCTATACAACATGATTAAATAAAAACTTACGTAAACTTTGCATTTATTAAGTTCATTTTTATATCTAATTTTATATTAAATATTTTATTACCATTTCCTTTTTCCATAATTGAATCTCTCCCAGTTGTTTAACAAAAGTTTTATCTTTTATCATTCGATTTTGCAGTAATATTTCGAATTTTTCAGATAGTTCAGGCCACTCGTTATAAATATTTGATTTTTCATCGATTAAGGCATTATAATCATTATCCAGCTGAAATGTAAAAAACAATATAATGTTACGTCTGGATGTTACGTCCTGGTAAAGAACGCAACACGACGTAAAGCCTCGATCGTACTAGCAGGTCGAGTTACGAGTCAGCGACCAGAAGGATCGCTTTACGCGTGTACCGACGTACGACGAGTGGTCCTTTTTCGATCAGAGAACTGAATCTCTTTATCGCGGACGGACCGAGAGCGGATAAGAGAAATGAAGGGGGAAAAGGGAAGGATTCGAAAAGAAATTGTGATATAATTTGAATTAGAATTTAGATAATTCTTGACGATTACATTTATTTTCCTCGCGGGGTTGTTACAATTTTTATTAACTACTAGCACGGAGACAAAGTACGCGCG